GACGTCCTATTTGTAAGCTGGGAAGTGTAATGACGTTCTACTTGTAGGCTTGGGGGTTTAATGACGTTCAAATGGTAAGCTGTGAGGTGTAATGACATCTTAATTGTATGCTGGGACGTCCTAATTATGTACTGGAATGTGTGATGACGCCCTACTTACATGCTTAATGTGTAATGATGTCCTACTTGTAGACTGGGAGGTATAATGACGTCCTAATTGTTTGTCATTTGAAAGTTAGTGATTTTGTGGTATATGTTTAGTTGGTTGTCTGTTAATGGGTTAGTTGTTGTTCGTTGGTCTGTTGTCAGTTAATGGTGGTAACTTATGTTCGTTGGTTTGTGGTAGTTTGTTTATAATATTTTCTTTTTGTTTACTGTATACATATACAAGCCCGCTACGCACTTACTGATTTTCATTGTGTTTGATCATCTTGTTGATCTAGCTGATGGAGCCTCTAGCTGATGGGTACACTAGCTGATGGGTCCTCTAGCTTATTGTTCCTCTCGTTGATCGGGCCTTTTATTGATGGAGCCTTGTTGGTGTTTCCTCTGTTGTTGGTTTTTTTGGTGATGGGTCCTATTAATTACATAGAAGCACTGTCCAGAAATAAACAGTCCTTGCTGATCCCACGAACAAATAATAATCCCCACACAGAATCTACACACACAGAATGAACAACAGAATCCAGTCAACTTACACAATTTAATATGTCTACCAAAAACAGCAAAGCGATACAGTTGAGCTAGTTTATCTTGGGAAGTCTTTTCAATAGTCAACACACGTTAAGAAATTTCCCATATCAAAAATAAAAAGTAAAATAGCTGTTGAACACACCATGTCATAGGTTTTGACATGCGTGTTTAATCTATTCTCCTTCACACCCCCCTCCCTCCATAGTCCGTGTCACCAGTTGTTTCCCTTTTCCCATCTCTCATTGTTCGTCCCCTGAACACTAGCTCAGCCACCCACATGTCAAAACACACCAACACTTGTTAACCTTGCACTAGACACTGTCCTACACCCACCCATCCAAAATACACGAATGTCAGACAATCTCACTACACATTGTTTACACGTAGCACTTTCACGTACACACCAAACTCCGTCATCACACAACCGATCTAACTGTAGTCACCAGGCAACATACACATATATCAGTATATATTTGGTAACAAGCTTAGAACTTTTTAAAACTATGTTCTATATCACTAAAGCATCCATCGACATTGTGAAGTACATAGGGTATAATTCTGAAATCTTTCTCGTAACTTGTTTTAAAAATGTAATACAACATCACATAACTTCCAGCGCGTTTCAATTTATGTATTATTTCTTTAATATGTTTTAAAAGGAAGGTAGAATTTTTCCCATACGTTCAAACAATATTGAAAAAAGAGAACTAGTCTTTGAAACTTGATGTTATTTTATTAAATAAATAAGATGCCTCTAAGGAGGAAGCTTATTTTACCGATTGTTTTTACTTCATTGTCACCCCCCCCTCCCTCCTCCACACACACCACTCACCCCATCCATTTACCTTAGTGTGGGTGGACGGTGATTAAATTATTTATTTCATATTTGATTTTAATATTGTGTTCTATATTGTCCGTGTAGGGAGAGGGGGGGGGGGGTGGCATGACATACCCTCATCACATAGTCACATATTCAGATATTATAATCCTCTCTTAAGGGGAAGTAACCAAGCTTGGATGATGCTGTCGACAGTATAAAAGAGTTGTCGCGCTTAACAAAAAATAAACATACATGTTGCCCCAGTTAATTTTTATGACAGTAGGCCTACGCCTACAAGCGGAGGGGGTAAAAAAATTCATTTAAAAAAACGTTTTAATAACAAGCTTTTATGTAATAATGCACTAAAAAGTAGAAAATAAATTATAGACTACTATTTAAATAACTATAAAGAAAAGCGTGGGTCACTTTAGCACTTTAGTACCTACGAGCTGACCCGCAGCGTATCATACGCCGCTATTTAGTTGTTTTATTTTCTACTTTTCAGTAATTCATAATTTGTAAATTTGACAGTACCAATGCTGCCACTGAAAATATTTGCTTTAAAACACTAACCCCCCCCCCCCCCCCCACTTTCCCCTAACCCCGACCCTACACCCCCCCCCCCCTCGGGCCGTAGTTTGGAGACCCCTGTCTTACACGATCACAACATGAGTCAACATGTCTTCTTACACTAACACTATCTGTCTGGTTTTTAAAAAAATAGAATTGATATCGCTCATGAACATACCGTATCACAGTTTTTGACACGTGTGCTACATTCCATTACTCCCCTCCCCCCGTCCCCCATTAAAAAACAACAACAACTTATTGTTAACCCGATGAACATTACTCAGCCACGCACCTGTCAGAACCCCCCCCCCCCCCCCTTTTTTTGTTTAACTTGTACTAGCCACTGTCCTACGTTCATTCAAACATACACAAACGTCACACGCTCTCATTGTTTACACACAAAACCCGTCGTCACACACTAACCCCGTCATCACACACTATCTATTATATTTATTTATTAGTTACCTAAGTTTCATCTCTTTGTGTCTGTATCATTTAGATCACGAACGCGGTAATCAATTTTGCAAAGTACCCCGGACGCGGATCTCAAATGATTCTTAAAACTAGTTTAAAATGTTGAAATAAAGAGCACATAACCCAACACGTTTCAAGTTTTTTATTTTTCTCATTGTCTTAAAACGTGGGCAGATTTGTTTCCAATAGCTCATAGTCTTCTGTTATTAAACAACTCACAAATAAACAATATAAACATACATTACAGTCTTGAAAAACGTTGTTACATAAAATTTTTGTTAAAAGACAAGATGGTTTAAAAACACGAGGTTTATTTTTTCCGATTTTTTACCAACCACCCAAACACAATCGCCTTCTGTGCGTGTGAATTACTGAGAGTTTACCATTTTAAGGGGGCGTAACTAGGCTAGGTTTATCTTGTCGATTATTTTAATGGAGTTATTTCGCTTTCGTGTTGACTGAGAGTTTACCATTTTAAGGGGACATGACTAGGCTAGGCTTATAAATCGGTTATTTTAATGGAGTTACTTCGCTTTACATAGAAAAAAAGAGCTTCTGTAAACTATTATTGTGAAATTATCTTGATATTAACAAGAGTAAAGTTCAAACTTAAAACTTTCTGGGGATGGATTGGCATTGTTTGCAAACATCAGCTGATAACATTCTCTGGATGTGTGTGTGATTTGGGAGGGGTTAGAATATTGATGTAGCTTGACCTTATGGGCTGTGTATGATGGAGGGGTTAGAATATTGATGACGCTTGAGCAGAGGCGTAGCGACCCTTCCCGGCGCCCGGGGACAAACTTTTCGATTTGCACCCCCCCCCCTCAAGATTTCGATTTGCACCCCCCCTCAAACTTTTGATTTGCACCCCACCCCCCCCTCGAGATTTCCATATGCACCCCCCCCCTTCAAACTTTCGATTTGCACCCCCCCCCCCCTCGAGATTTCCATATGCACCCCCCCCCCTCAAACTTTCGATTTGCACCCCCCTCAACCTTTCAATTTATTTTTCCAACCCATTTCGGCGCCCCCTAAGGTCGGCGCCCGGGGACATATGTCCCCCCCCCCCCCGCCACCCCCCCCCCCTCGCTACGCTACTGCGCTTGAGGTGTGTGATGTATGAGGGGTCAGAATATTGATGTAGCTTGACCTTATGGGCTTTGATCCAGGAGGGGTCAGAATATTGATGTAGCTTGACCTTATGGGCTTTGATCCAGGAGGGGTCAGAATATTGATGTAGCTTGACCTTATGGGCTTTGATCCAGGAGGGGTCAGAATATTGATGTAGCTTGACCTTATGGGCTTTGATCCAGGAGGGGTCAGAATATTGATGTAGCTTGACCTTATGGGTTGTGTGTGATGTGGGAGGGGTCAGAATATTGACGTAGCTTGACCTTATGGGGTGTGTGTGTGATGGAGGGGTCAGAATATTGATGTAGCTTGACCTTATGGGCTGTGTGATGTTGGAGGGGTCAGAATATTGATGTAGCTTGACCTTATGGGCTGTGTGTGATGGAGGGGTCAGAATATTGATGTAACTTGACCTTATGGGCTGTGTGTGATGGAGGGGTCAGAATATTGATGTAGCTTGACCTTATGGGCTTTGATCCAGGAGGGGTCAGAATATTGATGTAGATTGACCTTATGGGCTGTGTGTGATGGAGGGGTCAGAATATTGATGTAACTTGACCTTATGGGGTGTGTGTGTGATGAAGGGGTTAGAATATTGATGTAGCTTGACCTTATGGGGTGTGTGTGATGGAGGGGTCAGAATATTGATGTAGCTTGACCTTATGGACTTTGATGGAATCGTTAGAACTAAGAACAAAGATTTTATTCTTCATTCTTTTATTCTTCAGCCTAATCATCCACATTAAACTGTAAGGATTGTTACATATAAGTATTTGCGTAGATTTAGAGCAGGGGTCTCCAAACTTTTCAGTCCGAGGGCCGCATTAACTATCAAATTTGAGTTCGAGGCCAGTTTCTTTGATTTTTCTGAGCGAAGTTTTTCAGCCATCACCAACAAACGTTTTTTTTTCCGTGGACAAAAAGATCTCCGCGGGCCGGATAAGAGGACCTCGCTGGCCGCATCCGGCCCTCGTGCCGTAGTTTGGAGACCCCTGATTTAGAGCAGCGTCCATTTTACTTACACATTTAAATTAACCTTAAAACTATAGTGTTTTAGTTATATTGAGATTAAAAAGTAAACAATATAGTACACACACGTCTATAGCATAAGAACAATTGGAAAGGAAGTGATAAGAGGTTAGGTAGATTTTACAAGTATGAGTACTTCAGCCTTAACACTATCAAAAGCCCAGACTGTAACAACACTTACATAAAAACATATAAACATTTGTAAAGCTGCACTAAAGTTTCTACAAATAACTTGTACCATATTATATATGTACCATATTATAAATTCACACATAAACAGCACTAGTAATTTTATTTTACTTTATTGACATGTATTAACAAGTTAGTGCAGCAAAATATTCATTGGACTGTATTCACTCTGGCATGGGATAAAAACTAGGAATACTCAATGTCTTGAAATCTGCAAAACAAAACAAAAATAAATAAATCACATTATCTTTTAAATGAAAGAGTAGCTGGTCACAAAACAATGAAAAATTGTATTTTTACCAAGAATAAAAGAAAATTTTGACTTAGATATCTCTTTGTAAATATATCAAAAACATGTAAGCTTGAAAAAAAAGCTTAAGCGCTTGAGAGAATTAATAACAACATTTAAAAACAATTTTCTTTATTTTGTTCTCTGATTAAAGTGCTTGTTTAACATTGATTATCCAGTGACAGTTTTAGAAAACTTAGTATTGTAGTTTATAAAATATATAATTAATATTAATAATCAACATTATATAGCACACAAACAAATCACACAAAATAGTGAAACTTATAGCATTTCACACATCACACAAACATTTGAGAGTTATAGCAGTTCAAACATCACAAAAATTGAAACTTATATCACACATCACACAAAAAGTGAAACTTATATCACACATCACACAAAAAGTGAAACTTATATCACACATCACACAAAAAGTGAAACTTACTTGCACTTGACACATGTGTAAAAAACTGTCTGACCCTCGTCTGCCGATCGTGTCTGCCTGGTTGTGTAGATCATGATGTCAAGATCGTGTCTGCCTGGTTGTGTAGATCATGATGTCGTGGTTGCACCTGGAACACTGGCGCTCCACCTGATTTAAAGATAATTTTTTAAATGGCTAGTCCATCTGATTCATCAAAGATAGTTATTTAATGTCTAGTTCACCTGATTCATCAAAGATAATTTTTTAAATGGCTAGTCCATCTGATTCATCAAAGAGTTATTTAATGTCTAGTTCACCTGATTCATCAAAGATAATTTTTTAAATGGCTAGTCCATCTGATTCATCAAAGAGTTATTTAATGTCTAGTTCAACTGATTCATCAAAGATAATTTTTTAAATAGCTAGTCCATCTGATTCATCAAAGATAGTTATTTAATGTCTAGTTCACCTGATTCATCAAAGATAATTTTTTAAATGGCTAGTCCATCTGATTCATCAAAGATAATTTTTTAAATGGCTAGTCCATCTGATTCATCAAAGATAATTTTTTAAATGGCTAGTCCATCTGATTCATCAAAGATAATTTTTTAAATGGCTAGTCCATCTGATTCATCAAAGATAATTTTTTAAATGGCTAGTCCATCTGATTCATCAAAGATAATTTTTTAATGGCTAGTCCACCTAATTCATCAAAGATAATTTTTGAAATGACTAGTCCACCTAATTCATCAAAGATAATTTTTAAACACTGGTTCACCTTAAACCAAACTAAGGTGAGAAGCTGATTGTTTGCTATGTTGGATCCCCAGCCTCCCCACTTAAAATTACACTATTTTAAGACGAATTAAGCTCAAGAATAAACTCTAAAATAAATTATAATCAGACAATTTTTTTATCCATTAAAATTATTAAACTACAGACAGAATAAAAATTAGTTACAGAAAATGTTTTTATGAGAAACTTGTTAGTCTTATTTCAGATCAAATACTGCATTTAGTAACTGAACGTCTTACAGTTGGGCCCTGGAATTCAGGTATCAACTCTTCTTTTATGAGATCTTCCGCTTCTATATTTTTCTTTTGTTTCCTTTTGGGGGTGTTGAAATGAATGACAAAAGTTTCTGTGACATCTTGGTATTCTGGAGAAAACAGATGTAAAAGAAAGGCTACTCATTTTCGAAATCAGAACAAAAGTTGATGGCAGTTCCCTCCCTTAGACACCTATCAAAACAGATAACAGTTGCATTAAAAAAAAATCAATTTAAAAAAGCAATTAAAAATTATTTTAAACTGAATGGTTTGATTGTTGCTAAATATCTGAGTCAAGTTAAATATACCTCTAAGTGTTAAATGATAGATTAATTTATGCTTAAAAAATTGGTTAAAAAATGACAAACTAAGAGGTAAAAAAAAGTCAGTGTGATGGAGTACAAGTTTTATTACACTAGAAAGTTTTTTTATTTGATCAACTGTTCACATGATTTTAAATTTGTCCCTAAGAATGTCTCTGAGCATATGCAACACTAACGCTCAAGAAGTAATTTGTGTAGATCTTGAGGTCCCAGCACAATCCTCTTATCCTAAGTGCTGATTAAGCTTGAGTGGGGCCACTGGATGAAAATTTCCTGGGACCCTTGTATTTGGTTGCTGGGCTACACCTAATGGTTCACCTTTCAGGTTATCAGTTGTGTTCTACCATCTGACAATGTTGTATGACATTCATGTATGGCTAATTTAGCAGCACCAATCAAATTGTTTAGTTTTACCCTACCTTTTTAATTCCTTGTAGCTAGATATTGTTCATACGAAATGATACATGTCTATAGTTTAACCCTTAGCCTACCTTTTTAAATCCTTGTAGCTGGACAACATGCACATGAAATAATTTTTGTCCATAGTTTAACCTTTAACCTACCTTTTAAGTTCCTTGTAGCTGGACATTGTCCACATGAAATAATTTTTGTCCGTAGTTTAACCCTTAACCTACCTTTTAAATTCCTAGTAGCTGGACACCGTGCACATGAAATAATACTTTGTCCAATACTAGGTAGAGGTAGCACAGAGCCACAGAATGGACAAAACTGTAGATCAGTGGTAAAGGGTGGAGGTTCTGACATTGTGATCTGTGAAATATATTAAAACTCATTAAATAGATGTGAAGGCGTAAATATACATTCAATATATTTCAACAGCCTATTGGTGAGAAGGCTAGTACATTGTTTGTGATCCAACATGATGATTAAACAGAAAAAATAAGGGCTTCAATAACAATTCTTAAAATATCAAATAGGGTTCTTTTAAAAAGTGTAGGTTGGGAAATGTAATCAAGGGATGGAGTGGGCTAGCAGTATAGAGCTAGACTGCTAACCTGTGAGTCTCGAGTTCGAATCCTGATTCAAATCAGTAGACCGTCCCTGAGTCAACCCAGCTCTGATGGGTGCTTAACTCACGCTAGGGAAAGTAAAGGCGGTTGGGCATAGAGCTGAGCACACTATCTCTTCATATGCCGAGGTCACAGAAACAGGTGAACTCTACTTCTATGGCCCCATATATCATCAGATTTGGAAGGGAAACTTTACTTCTACTTTTACAGTTTGACATTGTGTGCCTTATCCCTGTTCTAGTTGGTTAAGGTTTTTACACAAGTACACTAAACAAGTACAAGTACTTGTTTAGTGTACTTAAAACCATTGTACTGATTACTATTTACAAAGAGGCTTCTTCTTCTTCTTCGTCCTTAATTTTTAGTGTTGGAAGGGATCGAGCCTTATCTTCCAGAGGGTTTGAGCTAGAGACTTTTTTTTTCGAATTTATCAAACATGAGCTTTGCCGCCTCGGCCATGCTTCCATCACAATTAGGGATTACGTGTCAACTGGTTATGCGCCATTGAGGCCATTGACTCCGATTTCAGCCTGCTTTTCTTTTTGGATTTGCTTCCATAGCCTTTGTCCAATCAAGAACCAACTACAAGGCAGCAGTTGTTTGATTTTGGAGTTGTCTCTCCTAGAAGAGTGGCTGTCCCCAGCTAACGAGCCTCATCTGCCCGAAGGTTCGAACTCGAGACTTTTCGGTTTAGCAACCATGAGCTTTACCGACTCGGCCACGCCGACCCTTTACATACAGGCTTAATATGTTACTCCAGCCTGGGCCTGACCCTTATCCACACCTGTATTCTCCCACTGAGTAAGTCCCAGATCTAGATCTATATGTTGTGTAAATATCTATTAGAGTAAATTACTTATTTAACCCTTTAACCCCTGATATCGCCAAACGCTTCTTTTTTACTTTCTCGTATATACGAAGTATAGAGAAAGTATTGTAATCGTGCACAAAAATCACTTGAAATTTTAACAATTTTCACCGTATTACACCTCAGTCCTTCATCACATCCGAAGTATAGAGGACTTATTTTAATCGGGCAAAAATTATCAATCCAGATTTATCAAAATTAAGAGGTTTTATGCGTAATCCAGTCTGAAAAACTGGGCTTTGCAATTCTGTCCGTATGTCTGTGTGTCTGTGTGTGTGTGTGTGTGTGTCCGTGTGTAAACACGATTACTTGAGTACCGTTATAGCTAGGTTGATGAAAGTTCATATATAAGTATTTTATCAAAATCGTAGATCCGTATCAACTTTTGAGCGATTTCCGATAACCGGAAGTGGTACTTTTCCTACTTTGAATTTTTCAAAAGCCTATAACTTGAGTACTATTTCAGATAGATAAATGAAATTTCACATGTAAGTAAAAGATCTAATTCTCTACCTTCTATTAAATTTTGAGTAATTTCCGTTGACCGGAAGTAGTAATTTACGCTACTTCCGATTTCTCAAAAAACTAATGTAAATTTTTAAAGTACTAATAATATTGCGCGCTATTGTGCACTTTTTTATTTGGCGTTCACTAGTTCACTTGGTGTGCAATTATTTTGTCTACGAGATTTTATTCTATTTTTAAAACTTTAAGTATTTAAAATGGATTAAAAATCATGTCAATAGCCCGAGTTCCCATCCCCTGTTGTTTTATATAAGAACTAGCTGCATCCCGTGCTCCGCCACGGTAAATCTTTTTTAAATGTACCAACAGAACAAAACTAAACACAACACAAACGAACGCAAAAAAAAAAAAAAAAAAAAAAAAATGAACAAACAAACACAACACTCATAACATAAACACAATTTAAATGCAATCATAAAGGCATATTGCTCACAGTCTAGCCCGTAGCGCCAAATCGCGCCCTTTCCGGTGATTTGCACCCCCCTCAAACTTTCGATTTGCACCCCTTCCCCCCCCCCCCCCCCCGCCGTAAAACTTTCGATTTCCACCACCACCCCCCCTCGCAAATTTTTTCCAACCCACTTTGGCGCCCCCTAAGGTCGGCACCCGGGGACATATGCCCCCCCCCCCCCTCGCTACGCCTCTCCTATAAAACCCGAAAGATAGAATAATAATTAGAAAACAGTATAAATAATAGGCAGTATCTATAATTAATATATACAATATTTCACTTTATCCATTCACGCATTTTTTTTTCCAGTACTTTAAATTTTAACAATTTACAATAGAGTTTCATAACTAAAACCATTGCGCACCTAATGAACGTGATGACGCGTCTATAATAGTGCTGAATAGTTGATTAAAAATTATAAGTAATAAACAGTAGGGCCTACATTCAGTGAATAAAATAGATAAAAGATTGCCTTTTATCAATCCATGCTAATTATAATTTTCTAACAATAATTTCCTCTTACACATCCGAATAATTTGCATTCACATTTTGCTAATTATATTATTGCAACACCAATTCCTTATATGACGAATGTATATTTGCATTCACATTTTTTATTAGCGTGAGTTTAATGTATTTTTAAATTACCTACTTTGTCAAAATTAGAAAAGATTTAAATTAATTTGATTTTTCTACCGTACTGTTATTATGTTATTTAAATGTATCCACTTTTTCGAGGAATATTAACGAAAACTATATTTGACATTGATCCTTTTAATATGTTTTAGCAATGTGCGTGTATTTAATATTTTCTTTAAGTTGTGCAAAAGAGTAAACACAGTGGCAATTATAAAATAGCTCTATGCCGCTATATAAACAAACCCTACTCTAATACTTATAATAAGACACTGCGGTGCACTGAAAAGCACAGCATGGTGCGAATGTTTACTTTTATGGTTCCAAAAGCTATAGCGATGACAGAAGGAAGGAAGGAAGGAAGGACTGACACACGCTCAGCCCGCTTATATTATAGATATTCGAGAAAGTTTAGGGGAGATCACTCCCGGTTTATTTTATATTTGCATCTTTTTGCTGTGGAGTCTTGATTTTTGTGTTAATGATGCCTTTGGACTAAGTTATGATGGGACGCTTATAATTTAGAAGAAAATAAATAGTAGTAGTGATAATGATATTTAAGAATTATTAGACGTGTGGGTACATCTAAAAACGGGAATTGCTAATAATAGTAGTTGTCTAGTGGTTCTACGTCCATTACGACAAAGTGCGTTTGCTGTTGGCATGGTTATGAATTAATTTATTTTTGTTCAATTAAGTGTAGTAAAGAATTCATTTTATTACATGTTATCCATTTTACTTTTGTTTCAACAATGCATGTCGGCTGTGGATGAGATTTGCTTTGTTCTGAATTTTTTAAAAGACCCAACCTATATTTAGATTATATTTTAAAGAGTGTTGCCCCTTTTCTTAGGAAGCGGGGAGTGAGACATGTGTAGCAGCCTAGGAGCCAAATGGTTAAAACAAATTGTTTTGGCCTAAGTTTACTTTTAACTGATTTTTACTGTGACCTCATATACTGGATTACTGTCTAATACACAAGTACAACATTGACTTTTACATTAAATGACAGTACTTTACAGCATCACACACACATTTTAATACTAATCTAGAGGCTAAACAGTGAGTAGTCTACTACACTAGGTTACAGTTCAGTAGAGTAGTGCTGTGACTACAGACTTATACTTAACACTGTTACTGTTAACATAACTAAACTTAACACCTAATGGTCTAAAACACAACAGTTAGACTACTATTACTCTATTACTAAAGCACTAAAAGTAAGACTTAGGGGTCATCCATAAATGACGTCACACTCGTAGGGGGGAGGGGGGTCCGTAATTTTGTGACGATGTGTGATGAGGGGGAGGGGGGTCAGATGTTGCGACATCACATTTTTGCATTATATAAATGCAATGTTAGAAAACGAATTTTAGACGTTATTTCGCGTTTTAGATAACTGTTTTAATAAATTGTAATAGTTTAGACAAGATTTTGGAAAAAATTCAACTGCAATTTTGAGGGGGGGGGGTTGTAGGTTGAGGTGTGACGTCATTTTAGGGGGGGTGTCTGGCTTTTTGTGACGACGTGTGACGGAGGGGAGGGGGGGGGGGGGAGGTAAAAATCGTCAAAAAAAGCGTGACATCATATATGGATGACCCCTTACATAGTAATAGTACATAGGGCATAGTATAGTGTTACAGTAAGACTAAGACTACATGACAGTGAAGAGTCAACTTACTCTTGAACTTACTGAACTTCAACTCAGTATCAACTGTTAACTTAGAATAACAGTTGCAGTGTAGATCTAGATCTAGATCTAGAATCTAGATCTAGTTGTTTGTTAGTTGCCTTAGTCAAGTGCTTGTCTTAGTCTTAGTCAGTCTTAGTTAGTAGACTCAGTCTTAGACTAAGGTCACTAAGACTCTTCTTAGTACACTCTTAGCCCTTAGGAGCCTTAGGCCTTAAGAGTTGTTTTTTTTTTTTAAGTTTTTAGACTTAAAAACTTAAAATAAAAACACACACAAGACAATAGGCCTAAAATAATTTCAATAACAAATAGTAGTAAAATACTTAGCCTAAGTTAAAAAAAATACTAAAATAGCCTAGTAACTTGGTAGATCTAGATCTAGAAGTTAACTTTAAATATTAAATAACTTAGAGTCTTAGATCATCAAGTAATGCTATAAATAGTTAAATAGTAAATACTGTAGATCTAGATCTTACTAGTAGAGACTCCAAATACTACAAATAGGAGACCGAGTAGATCTTTATTATTAATATTATTCTTTATCATCCTTAAAATCTTAATCTTAGTAATAAATGAAATATTAAATCAAGTTTAAGTTGATCACAGTATACTCAAGTATACTGAGTATATGAATAAGGCTTACAGTTTGATATAGATCTAGAAGCTAGATCTTTAAATTGGGACCTAGAAATCTAAAAAACACTATAGTCAGTAATGTAGTCTGGACACAGATCTGCTGCTTCGAAAGACGGCGTGTTGTTATAGTCGTGTATTCATTGTTATTGTTATTTCTTTTTTGTAGTTGTTTCCCTTGAATTAAAGTTTCCGGAGGTTCTCATGAAAGCCCTACAATTTTAAATTAAATCGGCAATGGTCCAAGAAAAGTGTTTTGAGTAATTTAAAACGCGCTTGCCTAATACTTTATGTATAGTGACCGTTAGCTTATGTTAAAATAGTTTTTATCCAGTGTTTTGTTATTACCCCGGAATGTCATTGGGAGGGAGGGGGAGGGGCTGAGGCGTAGCGACCCTACCCGTCGCCCGGGGACAAACTTTTGATTTGCACTCCCCTCAAACTTTTGATTTGTACCCCCCCCCTCTCAAACTTTTGATTTGCACCACCCCCTCTCAAAAATTTCAATTTGTTTTTCCAACCCATTTTGGCGCGCCCTAAGGTCGGCGCCCCCCCCCCTCCTCTCTACGCCACTGGGGAGGGGGGCTCGCAGTAATTATTTTGAAATAATCTTTCCTAATCTCAATCTTTGTGATGTAGTTTTGGCGGAGAAAACGGGATGGTGGGTCTTGCTTTATTTTTACTTACTCGTATACAGATTAGCCTATAGAATCACTATAGAGAAAGTAGTGTAATCGTGCAAAGAAAAATTAAATGAAATTCTAATATTATAGTTTTCGCCGTTTTACACCTCCACTGTATCTTACAAGGAATATAAAGAATACACTGTAATCGAGCTAAAATCAAAAATATATTTCCGAAAATATATTTCCAATTTCTCAAACACCAGTGTTTCTTCCAGACTTTTTTCTCCGTTCTCCAGCGGGGGGTGGGGGGGGGGGGTGTGGGGTTGGGGGGCTTTTGAAAATTTCGGGGGGGGGGCGGTTAACATGGGGGGGCGGACACTAGTAAAAGTGTAAGATGCCTGGATGAAACTCTGTCAAACACTATCACATCTATCGGTCTGTTCCTTTTCAAACTTTTCACGTAGGTCAAAACTCGATGACAATGCAATGTGACTTAATTAGATATTTAATTAGCTTTTAAAAAATTAACTAAAAGTGTCTTTTTGAAGAAAAAAATTTCCGCTCATTTATGCACAAAACGCTTACATTCATTTTTTCTACTCGATTATATTTTTTAATTAAGTATTTAATTAAGTATTTTAAAAAATAATTAAAAACAGTATTCATATATCCAGATTGCACTGAAAGTGCCATTTCTCTTACTCTTAGCACTAACAACAAAGTTTAAGGGAGATCACTCCCGCATTATTTTGTAATGAGGCATGACGATAGGAAAGGGGGTAAAAAAATAGCTATATTAGCATAACGCAATTTATTGGTGGCGCGGAAAAAATCTATATATATAATTCTCTTCTGGGAGCCGTTAGAAAACAAGCTGCAAGCGCCTCCTTGCAGTCCCCTCTCTTTCTCTCTATCAATATCACTACCACCCCCACCCCACCCCCACATTGTCTGGTGAGCTGTGGTCACGCTGTTTACATTTTACAATCATAGAGACGGGTTTGGTGACGGCTATTAGGGGCAGATAATTTAGTTTGAAACGATTTTAAACTTAGAGGAGGTAACTAAGAGGAGGCTGCTTTCACGTGGGGGGGGGGGGGTTTAGTGTTTTTAAGCAAATATTTTCAGTGGCAGCATTGGTACTGTCGAATTCGCAAATTATAAATTACTGAAAAGTAGAAAAAAAAACAACTAAATAGCGGCGTATGATACGCCGCGGGTCGGCTCGTAATAATATAATACTTATCATAGTTTAGCACAAACAAGATGGATAGGGCGAAGTGACTTCAACGTGATGTTTACACAGTTAAAATGTTATACATGGGGGGAAAGGGGATTTTTTTTTTACAACGCCCCACGTCATTGAAAAATTGATATGTCGACTAAAATAACTCATTAATGGACAACTCTCTTTTAAGGCGTACATGAAGGTATTACAGCCCTACACTTATTATACCATTGATTACTAATCCAGTTTGAATTCCCCATCATCATTTATTTTGCTTATAAACCAAAGTTTCTATACGAGGGCTAGTAGTAGTAATTAGAAACTATCGGGAAAAAAAACCGAAAGGTTTGTTCATAAATGGCGACCGAAATAATCGTAGGTCATTCACTGCAATAAAAATCTACAACAATTGATTGGGCTACACACAAAAAAAATGTTTTTGTTGTATGTTTGGTTTGGTCTTACGTGTTTTTTTTTTTGGACAGTTTTGTTATTAGCGAGTTGCGCAGCTTGCGCCGTGACCTTTGTTGCCATGGTAATCATGGCTGTACCTTGAACCTAAATTCCATGTTTCCGGTTGCCCATTGGTAATTAAGGCCATGTCGCTTAAGGCGCTACCACAGCACACCTGATCTACGCATGTCGCCGTGCGCATCTTTGTTTTAACCTCAAGAGGATTTAGATTCAAAGCCTATTTTAATTTTTGGATCTCGTTTATTATCTTACAGAGGAGCAATGTGCTGAAATATAAGGTAAGAGTCTATGAATAATAAAGTACTTAATATTTAGAAAGAGATGCCTAATGTTATCGTGACTTTTTTTTTAACACACCCTGATACCCCCCCCCCCCCCCACCCCCAGATACAAACGCCTAATACACATCCCCAGCCCATATCACATGGAAAAATTGCATATACACACCTTGAGTAGCTTAAATAACTTACACTACACATGTGTAAGTACACACTTTAAGTTTTAGTAGTCATATTCTGAACAGTGGCGTTACAAGGGGGAGGCGTGGTGCTCTACCCCCACCGAGCGTCACCGTATACCATTGAGCCACAGTACCTTTAACAACGCACTAACACACCTTTTTAAACTCTTGCTGATAAAACATTATGTTACATTAGTAGTATTAAAAAAAAACTGTTCATATGAGCTGCCCCGAAACTCGACTAAAAATATTGGCCCAGCTCATCAGCTATCGTGTCTTTTGTTTCATCTCTTTCATGATCTATATCTTGTATTTACTTTTGTGCACAGACGTTTTCTTTTGTCGTATTGATTTGGGGACTGCAGCTCTAAATATTGCTCACAAAATCTGATCAGTTTTATATTTTTCCATGACTAAAAACCAGATTGATTCGAGTTATCTGTGATTCTAATAAACATTACATACCCACCAGAAGATCCAGTTTTTCTGTTCCTTCTAGCTATTCCCCCATGACCCTACCAGAACTTATCTATACAATTAACTTCCGGTTTTTCTGTCCCTACTAATCCTCTATGACCCCCACCCAACCTTGTCCGTACCTCAACTTCCGCTCTCTCTGTTCCTCACTATCCCTTTATGAACCTACCCAACCTTGTCGTACCTCAACTTCCGGTTTGTCTTCCCCCTTAGGTGAGAAGCCGTATAATAAACAAAAGGCACAGCAATTGACATGGGGGGGGGCACTAATTAATAAGGCAGTGAATTTAGAATGACATGAAAAAGGCATGATAGTTATTATTCATAATAATTTAGGGTACAATTTAATAATAAAGAGTAACAAAAAACAAATAACAAACATTACGTATTTAAATCACAGCATATTGCCAATATATTCATATAAGCAGATAGACAGGGAAGCTGTAACTTCTGATGTGGTACAACTTACTTAACACTTAATAAACTTTTACAAGAATTTAAGGTTTTTCTATTGATTAGTTGTACCAAAATAATAATATCAATAGGGCCTGATAAAGACCCTAGTATATTAAAGTAGTTTCCCTTTTGGACCTGTCAATCCATCATCCATAGAGCAGCTGAAGTAGAGTTTATCTGTTTCTTGACTACTGAACATAAAGTGATGGTGTGGTTAGCTCTCTGCCAAGCTATCTTTACTTTCCCTTGTGTCAGGTACTCATCTGAGCTTGGCGGATGCTGCGTGCTGCACAGACAGACTTGTCTGAGATCTGAGCTTAAGACTTTCATGTTAGTAGTTGAGTGCTTTACCACAGTTCTGTCAGGAAAAATATTACTTATATAATCAAAACTTTATTGATATATTAAGAGATTCTTATGAAACCAACATTTAAGTTTAAAAACATCTGCATAATCAAGGCTAAAACAAATCTTAAATAATGAATATATTTATAAAACATTTAGCCTTTTTCTATAAATTATTACATTGTTCAAACTGTAGCACATTACCTGTGTTCAAACTGTAGCACTTTAAACATCTGTATAAAACAAACGCATTATAAATTCATATGTATGACACAAAAAAAGACTCTATAATCATACTTTTTAATGTAGCTGGCCCTACAAATAGTAAATCTTTAGATAAATTAGCATGTTACTATACACATCATTTCAAACAATGTTGTTAGTTAAATAAAAGACGAAAGTCAAATGGGTTATGACATAGACCTCTATACATGACGTAAATCTAATTAGAACTCTACCCAGGATGTAAAACCAATTAGGCCTGTACAGATAACGTAAAACTAATTAGGCCTGTATACATGATGTAAAAATAATTAGGCCTGTATACATGACGTAAAACTAATTAGGCCTATACAGATGACGTAAAACTAATTAGGCCTGGATATAAAAATCTGTGTCCGAGTCAGCCGTGAGTGAGACTGGGATGCGTGGGTCAAGGCTGAACATCTGGCACTGGTTCGAGGTTCGAATCCAGTTGAAGGCGGTGCAGGTGTGGCTGTCACGACGCTCCAGACACGTCAGTTAGCAGGTGGTGGGGCTGGTGGTGGTGGTGGTTGTAAGTGGTGCTGCTGTGAGACGAGAGTTTTCGGTTCTGGAAAAATTATTTTCTCGGTAGGATACGGAACTGGCCATGACCTTAATCTCGCATAAGTGCAATATGTCCAGCGTGTATCTGTAAAAAGTAAGACATTGTTGGTCATTTAATGATTATCAGACATTTTTATCCGAGGTAAAGGGGGCGGGGGCCCACTTGGAACTTGGAACTTTGGGAGGGGGGGGGGGAATTAGGTAGCAGACACTATATCACTATATATATATATATATATATATATATTTCTATTTGACATTGAATGTGC